CTGTCATAGGCCTAACATTTGTACATATTGGAGTGGGGACTCCTAACGGAAATATGTGATTTAGCGCCCCAGTCATCCTGCATAAGCGGGTGAGATTACTACTTGAAACCACCGGCGACAGTGTCATCCTGAGCGCATCACATATGAGCAAGTTGGCCCCCACAGACAGTCGTTTAAAAGTTTCCACAACACTAGGAATAAGTCTCGCTACAACACTCGATGACTACATCTAATTAGGTGTCGCACCAATGTTTCTTCCAGGATAGACTGTTTTCGGGGGAGGGGAGGGGGGAGCTCTGCCGGAAGAAACAATGTGTTGCACCCAGTGGCGTAGCGAGGTCGGGTGTCACCCGGTGCGGCACTTAATGGTGTCACCCCCCAGATGCGTAGCGACCCTTCCCGGGGACAAACTTTCAACTTTTCGATTTGCACCCTCCCCCCCCCCCCCCCCCTCAAACTTTCGATTTGCACCCCCCCTCAAGTTTTTCTCTATATATTTTGCTATTTTTTGCCTTGGTGTCACCCCCCTAAATGGTGTCACCCGGTGCGGTCCGCAACCCCCGCCCCCCCCCCCCTCGCTACGCCCCTGGTTGCACCCATCACCCGTGCAGTAATGTAACCGGTAGCTCCAAGAGCCCCGTGACTCCCCTGACACCTGGGCCGTCGCCGAGGGACTTACAGCATGCCTTGGCGTGTCTAGTTGGCAGTGTAGACAAACCCGCGCCCTAAGATCCAAGAAATGAACTGCCGACATTGTTAACATTTAATTCAACTTCTGGAAAACAGGGCACACGGTTGATAACGTTTTGATGAAAGCCTCAAAAATCGGCGTGAGTTTGGTGTGTTGGACTAGATTTAGAGAGTCCGTGCTTCTCACTTGGAAAACTGAAAGGGGCCAGCTCGTGTGTTGGAAAACCTCTGATTTATTCGTGTACCAGATGAAAATTAAAAAAAAAAAATTAGAGCGACCCTTGTTTTCCATATATATATATATATATATATATATATATATATATATATATATATATATATATATATATATATATATATATATATATATATATATAGGGGCCCAAAAAAAAATTCTGCGGGGGGGCCTTTTTATTTCTAGTTCCTCCACTGCGTCCCGTCCCCTCTCTTTTCTTCTACAATATCCGTCCCCTGCCCCCTGTCTTTTCCCTACAGCCACGAAACTGTCGTACAGATTATTTACTCGACATGATAGCTGGTGTCCTTATTTGAACTCTGACCTTGGTATTCTGGGGAAAAACTCTATCGTAGAAACAGCTATCGTAGAATTGTAAGGAGCGGGGTGGGATAGGTCGCATATGTCACAGATTTCAATTCGTAATTGTACACGAACATGAAATATTGTGCACTATATCAGTTCGAACATGTTTTAAATGCGGACAAAATGTCAAAATTCTTTCTAACCAGTTGTCATATGAATCCACTGAATTAATTAGACAAAATGTCGAAAGTCTCAAAAACTAGTTGACAGTGAACCCAGTGGCTGAAACATTCAAAATGTCGAAAATTTCTAAAACCACTTTGCTCAGACAAAATGTCGCAAGCTAATGGGATAAAAACTAAAAAATGAGATGTATCATACATGTAAAACCAAAACTAAGGTCACAGAGTTGTAAATGTTGTATAACGTTATCTGAAGTGGGATGAATCATGAATGTAATTGATAAACATTGCACCTTACTGTCTCATATTAGCCCATTACCACTTCTGTACTCGCATGGGTACACTTGTTTGAGGCGTGATGTTATATTTTCTATAATGACTAGGCATGCTGCCCAGCTTCGCTTAGGCTTTCGAAAACATTGAGAATTTGAATGCTTAATTAATTCGCCCATATAAGGCGCCGGTCAGTCGAGGTCAGTTTTGCCCCCCTCATCGTAGACTTTTCGGCCAACCGGCCCCCGTGTTCTGTCGCCCCAATGCAAGATCCTGCCAAATTTGAAGCGCCTGCGGCGCCAGGAAGTGCCCTATCAGGCACCCGACAACTTAGCTTTATAGATCATCTAGATCTAGATCTAGAATCTCTAGATCTATATGATCTAGAATCTCTAGATCTAGATGATCTAGAATATCTAGATCTAGATCAATATCTAGATCTAGAATCTCTAGATCTAGAATCCAAATAGATAAAATAATTTTTTTAAGTTTAGGCCGAGAAAATCGTATTGTATACATTTCATAGCGTACATAGCTCTAAATCACGGGTTCCCAACCTGGGGGTCGCGACCCCCCTGGGGGTCGCGAAGGGTTCTCTGGGGGGTCGCCAACTGGTATACTAAACCTTAGTAATTTGAAACAAAACATAAATATTTAGAAGAATTTTTGAAATTCAGCTTTACTAACATCACTGGAAAGGGAATAGAGAAGAAGCAAAGCGTAGTGTACAAAGTTGTTTTCAGTCACGAGTTTATGAAATCTTCAAAACTAAAACGTCATTTGAGACGAGTCATTCGAAACACACTAAAACAGATATGGAGTTCTTTCGTCGGTATGAAGGTAGTTGCAAACGTCAGAGACTTGATCGAACAGGAAGTTTTCACCAAGGAAACACAGCATTAGTGTAATCATCACATGAAGTCGCGACAGAAAATGCCAAGCAAAAACAAACACAATAGGAGAAAATCTCATCAAACGCTGCATGTTGAAGATGGTGAAGTTAATTCTTACATGCCGTAGATGTTAAATAACACATTTTTATTGAAATTAAGCTTTCACCATTGTTTGCTTTTCAAGTTGATAAATTAACAGACGTGAGTTCGTGTTCGCAGTTGCTGGTCTTTGTCTTTATTCATTCAGATGATAGCAATTTTAAATTGGATGATTAAAATGGGTTAAAACGGCTGTGAGGGTTTGTACGGATGGTGCACCATCTATGTTTAGGTCAAAATCGGGCTTTCAGAAAGCAGAAAAGATTTAGCTCCCTAACCACTCCCCTCACCAATCGCCATCAAGACTCCATTGCTGGTATAAGTGGTAAATTATATACAATCCTGAGCCTTCAAAGAGCTGAGCAAAGACCTGAATAAAGATCACGAGGTTCTGCTCTACTACACTACAGTGTGCTGGCTGTCAAACGAATTGTTGTGAATCGTGTTTTTGAATTGAAATCCGAAATCAAATTGTTCTTAGAAATGCAAAGGAAACAAGACCTTTTGATATACTTAAAACGACATAGAGTGGTTGGAGATAGTATCATACCTAGCAGATGTGTTCGAACATCAACATAAGCATAACCTGAAGCTTCAGGGAAAATGAACGAATATTATCACTTTCCATGATAATCTAGGGGCATTTTTATCAAAGCTGCAAAATTGGCGAAGAAAATAAATCTTGGAAATATTGTAAATTTGAGAAACTCTGCAGTGTGGTAGATGAATCTAATTATGAGATAATTAAAATTTTGAAAGAAGAAATTGCTGGGCATCTTGAGTCAAGTGAAAACAAACTACAGCGCTATTTCTCTGAGCTGAAAAAAAAAGAATCTGCATTGACGCATTATCCATTCTCTTCTTCCCTCGATGTTGCCAGCATTCACGATGAATTACAAGATGAATTCTTTGAATTGTAGAATGATTCCGCGTAAGATAAAAAACTGCACACTCAATTTTGGTGTAGTATTCACCTTTCATACCCAAACGTAAAATTATTTGACTTTTCGAGCATAGATTTTCAACACTATTTTTCGATTAAAACAAAATTGAGATAATGATAATGACATAGGTTGGCGTTAATAAAAAAAAATACTTAAAAAAAAATTAACCGCGAATATTCAGTGAATAGTATGCAATTTTACCCATGGTATTAAAACAGTTAACATGGGTAGTTCATATTGAAAGTCTACAAGAAAATGTTATTTTAGTGCTTATTAATTTACATACTCATTTCGGCTTTTTAATTCTATGGGGGTCGCGGGTCACTTAATTTTTATAAAAGGGGGTCGCCACTCGAAAAAGGTTGGGAACCACTGCTCTAAATCATATTTGAATGAAATAGTTCATTTCTTTTTATTCTAAACTCGGAAGATGACGTCATCAGTTTCGTGCTCTTTTTTTAGTGTAAACAATAAGCGACGTCATTGTTAAATGCGTTCTTGTCCCAAGTTTAAGCAAGTTTCCGGTTGCATAAATAATACTGTTTCTCTACATTCGAATACGCCTTTATTTTTTATTTTTCTTCTTTAAATAAAATTGTGGTTATACATTTAAAACATCTAACATATTATTTTCAACAAAAGTCCATATAAAGGTATCCATATATCGCTGCCGATTCTGACGTGATGTCCGGCGAAAATATTTTGCGGACAGACATAGAGAGAGAGAGAGAAGAACGCACATGGCCTTTTATATATTAGGATTATCCTGAAAGTAATTACCCATTTCAGCAATAGATTGCACTAGTTGTCTACATAAAATTCAAAATGGCGACAGTGCAATGAGAACTGTCATTATTGTTAGTTCGTTTTTCCTGCTCGCAAGCATGTGTATACAGGTAAGATATATGTATTTTTTTAAATAATACCTAATAAATGTTTTGGACTATTTTTTATCCAAATATACAATACGACCATAGTAAAACATGTGGTGTTATTGTTTTTACAGCCTGTTTATATTACAATGCAGTAGGCTGCATTTTATAGCACTGTACTCAAGTGATATGCCGAGGTCACAGAAACAAGTGAGCTCTACTTCACTTGCCCCATAGACCGTCAGGTTTGAAAGGGAAACTTTACTTTACTTTTACTCAAGTGAGTACAATGGGCAGTACTAAAAATATTAATATTAAATCGTGTCACCCGGTGCGGCCCGCTCCCCCGTCCCGCCCTCGCAACGCCTCTGAATAGTTTAGCATGTAAGTTTCCTTAATATATCAGAAGAACATCTCAGGGCCGCATGAGCTAACTAAATATAAACTGCATAATATTAATTTTAAAAAAACACAAACAAAAGAACGACATATTAGTAGGATCAAAATTTACTGAACAATCAATCAGAATAGACAAGACCAACTTTTCTCTCAGTCTGGTTAGATAAGACGAACTTTCATCTCAACAAATTCCAGAGAGTTATATCGACCTGTAATGTTATACCATCCCATTTCTTTTCCGAATTCTTTGCTCGCCCAAACGCCATTGACATTAACTTCACCACAGGCGTTCCACCAAAAGCCACCAAGATTATATAATGCGCAATTTAAATTACTAAACAAATCATTATCTCGGTCCTTAGTCGAAAAATTCATGGCGCTGTTTAGAAAGAAGTCATCTTTAACATTCCCACCAGTGCATAACGAATATCTCATCTTGTACAGCGCTGCTTCATTTTCTACCTTAAAACCGCTGTACACCGAGTAGTAATCTTTGCCTTTATACTTCATGTCAAATCTTAGTTCATTGTAACCCTTTTTAGAGAAAAGAATTAAAACAAGGAATTAAGAATGCAGAGGAAAAGGCAAATATTATACGTTATTATCCTTGCGTTATAGTTATCGTTAGACATTTAGCTAAGATTTTTAAAAATATAAAGCAAATTATAGATAATTGAATCTAATTCATGATTTCAGTCTTTACCAAAACATAACTACGCTTTTGAATTTATTTTCTTAAATATTATTGTTTTTTCTAATAAGTTATTGAAACTGATATCTGCGTAACGAACCTTCATAGTCAGCTGTGAAATCAAGTCGTTCCCAAGCCAAAAGTCGCCAGATATTGAGCCGAATCCCTCTTTATATTCGTTCCACGTTCTGTTGAAATCAACGCCACCGCTTATACGTCTCTGAAATTAATTTATGTCAGATTTTCTACGCTTTATTGTAAATGTCTTGATTAGAAATATTTAGTTTTAAAGTAAGCTTTTCATTACAGTTATTTATGTAGTAACGTATTATTATATATTTAAAGAAAATCATTTATTTTCTCCTTATAGTGCAGAATTATATAAAAACTTGTTATTAAAACGTTTTTTAAAAGCTTCTATTTTTCTTGCTTCCTAACTATGTCGTCAGTCTGTCTGTCGCCAAAGATCGAAACGTGCACTTCTAACCAACCGATTTCTCAGAAATTCGGCACGTGAGTCAATACTTAAAGACAATGCAATATGACATCACATTGGGCTTAATTAGATGCCTAATTAATTGTTTATAAATTAATTAAAATTGTTTGAAATTAGTAGGTATTCCTATACTACTATTCCGCACTCAGAGTTTCTTCCAGGCATCTCTTCGGGGGGGGGGGGGGGCAATGCCCCCCTGGAGAAAGTCTACACCCCCTCCCGAACGCAATGGAATTTATATAGAAAATATATACTTTTAAAAGTGTCCGCCCCCCCCCCCCCTGGAAAATTTTGTCCGATCCCCCCGAAAATTTCAAGTGCCCCCCGGAGAAAAAAGTCTGGGAGAAACACTGTCCACACTATTGTGCAATACTATGCATTAATAACAAGCTTTTTTGTAATAAAGAAGATTCTGAACAAAATGCCTTTTTGATGTCGACCTTTTTTGTTTTGTCAGCCTTTCGGATGTCGGCATTTTTTCCGGATTTCCATCAGAGCAGGGTGGACTCAGGGACGTTCCACTGATTGGAACACGGATTCGAACTCGAGACTCTAGTTAGCAGTTTGGCTCTCTACCGCTGGGTCACGCCATCCCATATGAGTTATATATTATTGTATAAAGTTTTGAAATTGAAAACCGTTCGGAAAAGTTTACTTTTGTATTTCTCGTGTGTCACTATTAGACTTATTGAAGTATTTAATACCATTGAACATACTATTATAGTATTGCTGTTCACTATGCACATGATATCAGAATTAAAGCAAATGAGAATAATAACATTGATCACAAATGGAAATACTTTCACCTGTCGTCAAATAAAGGAAGCGCAAGCTACAAATAGCAAACAATTAGACTTAGCATTGTGCTATTGTCATGCCCCAATAATATTCCCTTAAAAAGATTCCCCATATCAGTTTTTACCAATTCCCACCGGAGTTTTTAGGGACATTGCTGGTGCTAGATTGGGTACTGTTCTGATTGTGAGGTGCCTACTTGTATGTGAGGCATAGGACCTTGTACAGACCCCCGGAAACGGATTCCGGTGCTAGAAAAGGTTTAAATTTTTGTCTAAGCATAAAACTTCCCATAAGTATTTTCATCCACAAAGTTTCATCACGTTCAAATGACTAGTGTAGTAATACAAAAAGGACATAGGCCTATATACAAACTCACACAGATAATCCATAATCTATCGCACTCTTTAAAGCAAAAGTATGCGACATGGAGTTCACGGGAGAGTCCGGGGCGCTTAATTGCCCCCCCCCCTCCTCTCCCCCTTACCGGGACGCCGGGATACGTGTCTTTAGACTATAGCCTTTTTAAAAAAAACGAACGTAGGCGCCATATTGCTCACATGGGTCACGCAATAGGCGGGGTACCGGCGTCTACGTCTGCTGCAGTTTTACCGCTGAATATAGTTGTACCCCTTCCTCGCTATGCAGGACGCCCAATAAACGGATACCAATAGATTTAAAAAGTGAATGTAATAACAATAAAAAAATTAAAATATTTTTAAAAATATAACAAGCTATAAAATTTTACTTATATTTAAAAACTCAAAGCTGTTTTGTAACCATCGTTTACATTCATTTTCATATTTTTATATTGAATCTTAGCCGTTAAAAAAACCGTTAAGATTATTCTAAACATCAAATGAAAGGATGAGTAAGGTATAAAAGACACATACACACACATACACACACAAACGCATAATTACATTTATATAGAAGAGAGAGATAGATAGATAGATAACAGCAGGAAAACCTGAATGACAACCCATCCTCCACCGTCAGTAACCGTATCACACCAGGTCTGTTCCACGTCTTTCACAATGAGGACAGCTACATATTTCGTAGCAGCTTGTTGATTTCTTTTACACATCTCCAGCGTGAGAAATTTTGGCGATAAGAACATCTAAATACAAAATAGGCAAGTGGTAAATGATAGTCTAAATGTCACAAATGTAAAACATATCTAAGCAAACTATAGTATATTTAGTTTAAAATATCAGCTTTACATTACATAAGATACTTCGCGTGAATCATGCAAAGCTAACAATATTTATCTTCCTTGTAGAATACCTTGATAAAATACACATTGCTACCGTGTTCTGTTTACAAGTCGACAACTCGTACACATTATTTCAAAATATTATATTATTTCAAAATGTTATAAATAAATAAAATCAGAAAGTCCTTATCGACAAATCAACGGCTTTCCCTGCTAATAATAGATTGCGTTGCTAAATCTACATGCTAAAACACAAATAAATCGCTACACAACTAAGTATATAAACTAATGTCTAGCTTTGTTCTTTTTTCGAACTTGTCCATGGGGCAAGTGAAGTAGAGTTTACCTGTTTCTATGACCTCGGCAAATGAAGGGGCAGTGTGGTGAGCACTATGCACAGCCGACTTTACTTTCCCTGGGGGGACTCAGGGACGATCTATTCACTTCAACCCGAATTCTAAATCGAGACTTTAGTGTTAGCAGTCTACCGCTCTACCACAGTCTGTAACATCTAACTAAATGTGTTTAATGATATTTTACAAATGATTATACTTGAACGTATCATAATTACCTTCATCACGGATATCATTGTAGCCTTTAGATTATCTTGAAAATTGTTTTGTAGCTCTTGTAACTTGTTTTGCATGACTAGCACCTGGCCTTGTAGCTCTTGAAACTTGTTTTGACAGACTTGATCATTACTTTGTAGTGCCTGAAGCTTGTTTTGACAGACTTGTTCATTACTTTGTAGCACCTGAAGCTTATTTTGACACATTTGCTCATTACCTTGTAGTACCTGAAGCTTGTTTTGACAGACTTGCTCATTACCTTGTAGTACCTGAAGCTTGTTTTGATATAGTTTCTCATTACCTTGTAGTACCTGAAGCTGGTTTTGACAGACTTGCTCATTACCTTGTTGCAACTGAAGCTTGAAATCAATTACTTTTAGGTTCTCATTCATGCAAAGAACGTCGGCTGCAAGGTTATTAACCTTCGACTCAATACTTCCCACCAACGTTTCTAGAGACTGACAAACTTGTGACTCACAACTAGATGATTGGCTTACAGCCCTGCTATCGCGTGATACCGTTGTCATGTCAGTTTGTACGATCTCTCCTGCATTAGAATTGGATAAACTTATAAAAACTACTTACACATTCTTTGGTTCATAAGAGATATAAGCCCATAGGCGTCGCGAGGCGGGGGCGGGGGGTGTGGACCGCACCTGGTGACACCATTTAGGGGGTGACACCAAGACAAAAAAAATTGCAAGATATATAGAATTAATATGTTTTTTGCCAGTTCAATGTGTGGTTAATTAGAGTTAAAAAATATTTAAGGACATAACGACCATTGCGACTTGGAGGGGTGGGAGAGAGATACAATGACTTAAACGCAAACTATAGCGAAAACCCAGCTGTATTAAAAACCGACTATAGATGAACATCACTAGTATTAAATGTGAACACTTCAAAGATTTTCCTGGTGGGGGGGGGGGGGTGACATCTAATGCAAAATTTAGAGCTAAAAACGGAGGGAGGTGACACCATGAGGGTGTCGCACCGGTTGACACCTGACCAAGCGAGGCCACTGTATAAGCCAACATGCTTCCCTTTATGAAAAATATTGTCACTATTAATTCAGCTACCAACTTCATTTAAATAACTACTTTTTTCAAACAGTTTAACCTATCAAGCGTCGCATGAGAAAAAATAGGATTAAGCCAATATGCTTCAGTTAGGAAGAGCTTTTAAAAACACTAAGCTATGCAGTCTGTCAAGGAGTAGAATATTGCCAGCAAAATTTGACTAAAATCTGCTGAACCGATTAGTTTTAAAATTGTCATATAATTTGCACTACGATTTGAACCTTTTGAAAACTATTTCAAGTCTGATGTGGAGAATATGTGTTACATACTTTTACATCTTAACATATCCAGGTAAGGTATGGTAGTAATAAATTAGAAATATTTTGTCGCTAAGAATCCCTATTAAGACATTTTATTTGTAAATTAAACTATAAAATAATAAGTATTTTAACTTGTATTTTGCTAATATGCCTATACGAAAGGCAGGAGAATATTTGAACTTACCACATGCGAGAAATACACAGATTGCAAACACTGTTGTTAAAATACGAAGAAACATTTTTGTATGCTTGTAGTGATGTTCACTGATACTTTGGTGGTCTCACGTTTAGTGCACCGACAGACTGGTGATGTGAATATATAATTTTTTGACGATGGTCTGTTTAGCTAGGCCTGATGGCATAATCCGGCTAATGTTACCGCATTATCTGAAAGAGATTTTATAAATTTTAAACTAACTCTACGCCACAGGTTCCCTAATATCTTCCAGTGGCGACCCCCTTTTATAATAGCTAAGTGTCACGCGACCCCTTACACGAATCAATATTAATAAGGAAACCAATAAACACCTAAGGTTTTCTAGCATAATTTTTATTTTAAATTAGGATAAACTAATTTAATGCGATAGGTGAATTAAGTAGGCTCAAAATTTGCGATTTCTTTTCTGGTAAAGCCAAACACATATCAATCTCAATATTTAATTTTATTAAATGAAGAAATGTTACAAATCCAATATCGCAAAGATATATGGACACAAATGTAACTAAAACTCGAAACGCAAGCAATTTCACCTTTTTGGTGGTGCATACCACACCAAAATCGTGTGATCAGGCTTTCATTAGACAATTGACTTGCGATGGAATCATTTCGCAAACAGTAGCGTACGGTGAGGGAGATGGGGGCGGAGGGAACGAACATTTTAAGGATAGTTGCGCCTTAATAGGAGATTAATTATATAAAAGGTAAAACCAAGTTCTTTTTATTTAATTCAAGTAAATAAATAACAGTAAACAGACTCACCAAACTGAAAGTACGAATTTAAAACTGTTATATTATGTACCCTACATATCATTTTTTATAATGACTCCTTGCAAGTATACTTTTTGGCTTATTCTCGGCGCCGAACTCAGCGAAAGGTACGAGCGAGTCGCTTTTTCATTACAATATCAATCTGCTGTTGAATATGGACCACAAACACCCACAGAATAAACTTAATCCACAAGCGTATCCTTTGAGTAGACAGACTCAATTCAGCCATCCATCTTTTATATGAGAGGCTTATTAAGTTAGTGTTTTAAGATAAGTCTATAGATGTTGATAAAAGTTTTTTTAAAGCTAGCTCCGTAGAATACGATTTTGCTTATCTCTATCAATACTAGCAGGAAGTGAAATTGCAGGTGATGTGCTTGTCAAACTATAGGGCTGGTAAGTAGGTCACCAAACAGTTCTACGGCTTAATAAAACCTGCATGAACCATATAGCTGTTTATTGACCTACTTACCATCCCTATATAGTACATCTACTATAAAGGCATCTTGTATAGATGAACATATTTTTAGATGGGTTGTGTAAAAAGATATGCAATATGAATATAGGAAGGGAGGGAGGTTGAGCTAGATAAATGTACGTAAAAATAAACACATTTTCGCACCTCCAGGAGTTTTAGTAAGAGTTACGATGGTCAGGTAATGTTCTTTGAAAATTGTTTTTATTTTTACCAGTAAAGAGGTGTATCTGATCTAACTCAGACTTTTTTTATTATTTTAAACAATCATCTTAATAGAGAAAAACGGTTTGATGTATTTTTTTTAATATAAATGATCTAGTTTAAATTTCTGTTTTTCAAATCATGTATTCTATTTTTACGAACTTTCTTTATGCTTTGATGTTTTTGCATTTATACTATTATATCTAATTTTAGTTATAAGTATTGCAAATTGTAATCAGTTTTCAAATTTAAAAAATAATGAAAGGATTGCCATTGCAGAATTCAAAAATCAAAATAATTTTTGCAGGCCTAACTGATCTATCTTAAGAGGGTAACTATTTCCCCAATTTTAATTTGTTTGTCTTAAAGATGTTTATTATTCCCTTATGCATAATTGTTGTTTACAAGGATTACAAAAACAGTTTGTGTTGCGTTTCTTGTTATATTTATTTTTTGCTTGTGTTGTGTGTATAATTTATGTTGAATTTTGAGTTCTTGTGTGTGATAAGTTGGATAAGTTGTTTTGTGATGTACATTGTGTTTTATTCTTTTATATTCTTCAAAGAATACATTTTAATTTATTTTACGCTGTTGCTATGCAATAAATTACATACATTATCCCGCCATTGCATCTTATTCACACATTACAACTCTTTTATTAAAACCCTTTATGTCCTGACAGCTTCTTTATCCCAACCCTTACTACGCCACTGCTTCACTACTATAGCTTTAATACTGCCACGTCGCTGTGTTATATTAAAGCCAATCTCTTCTCAAACACAACTTAGCCATACTGTGAATAAAAATTAACTAATATTATGCCTAGATTAACAAACCCAAAAGACTTTTCGAATCGCATCAATTGCGATTAAATATTGCGTTCAGCATGTGAATATGTACTTAAACAAAAAGTTATCCGTATTTGTGTGTATTTACATTATTAGTTTACTAATCTTCACTGGATCATATTACATGATATGGGTTTCTAAAAGCACAATAACTGACTTAACTACTACCCATATGATGTGTCTGTTTTGTCAAAGAACTAATCCTGTTTGATATTAACATGCAACAGATGTATTATTTCGTAATAATCCTTGCTATTAATGTACAAAATTGTTTACTGAATATATATGTCCTGAAGATGAAGTATTTAAAAGCGTGCGCCGTCAAAACGGCCAATGACAAATCGGCCCCGACATAAGAGCACCGTCAAATTGACCCCGTCAAAATGGTAAGCGACATATGGACCCTGTCATAAAGGCTCCCGATAAATAGGCTCCCGTCATTTAGGCTCCCGACAAATAGGCTCCCGTGTAACGTTAACCTATCTATCAGCTAAATAGAAGGAGAACGTCCCCGGATTCTTTTTTTGGGGTCATATGCAAATACCTTACGGCCTAAGTGGATGAACACTTAACACAACGTCCCACTAGGGCTCGAAATTAATGTCTAGGGAAGCTAGTGATACTATTGTATTTAACACTCATCCAATCTACATACGACCTTTTAATCAGCGAACTCAGATGTGGCAAAACACAAAGATGAACTAGATAAAATATTTAATGTATAAAATATCAAAACACAACTTACAAAATGTAGGAAAAATCACTATCACAGATTTCTACACTGTCTAAAGAACAGCTACAGGCCACACAACACGGCTGTAGCTCCAGGAATTACTTAACGACAAGTAATATTAAACTAGAAGACTAAATCAACTGAAGAAAGCAAGGCACACACAGGTCTTAAGTACTCTCACGTTCAAATGGTCAGAGACTATAGCCGGACAATATGGACGGCTGCCTGACTAAGGTAAAACGGCCTCGTAGACTTTTAGGTCAAGAAAAACTGCCTCGTGTTGCGAGTGTGCAGTGCAATTATAGACTTCTGTGACAGGGGAGGTTATCCTCAACTCATGTCGCCATTGGTTGGGATAATCATCTGATCAGAATCATTCAATCAGATTTTAATGGAAATTTTCTATGTCTCAAACACCTTAACAGTCAATGGAAAAACCCCAGGTGTTACACCATCATTCCATATAAGGAATTATACAATGTCAAAATAAAAATGACTCGACCTAAGTAGGTCACATCCCCTCCCTTTTTGGAAGTGACAGATAGGTTCCACAAAAACATACATAAGGAACCAATCTGGCAATGAAATAACAAAAATGTTTTACAAATGTAGGCAATCAAAATCATAATACCAGATGAAAATATCCCTGAACATAAAAGGGAAGTAACTCCAACTTTTACAATTGGTGAAAGGGGAGAAACCCTTCAAAAAGTAATTATACACCAAAATCCCTCAAAAAAGGGTATTACAATTTTTCCATGAGAATATTAAAAGTGGTAAACCCGCCAGGGTAAGACCTTTATTTCAATGACTAGCTACAATATCAATTGAGTCATATGAGACATATTATTATAAAAGATTACATATAATCAAAAACTACCTTTAATTAAGGTTCACCTGAAAATAAACAAAATATTCAACAGGATTGGAATTTTGAAAAAAA